CAAATATCGAATTACTTAATAATAATCTTCAATCGGGCGATCAGAGACGAGAAAATTGGAAGATGTATGTTCCAGGATACCTATATGTAGTATATCATTTCGAGAGACGATTATTTATCGCGTTGAAATCCACGAGATCTTTCCCTCGCTGGCGAGTTTTCTTGGTAATATCCACACGGTCTGATCCACGACACTACAATTCGTAGAAACTGGACCGGTGTCTTTAAGGGGGACCATTGTCGAGAAGTAAAGGGTTGCGCAGAGGCAGCCGACTTAATGCGTTTATCGGTGGCTATCGAGACATTCCTGGTCTTTTTACCGAGACGACGAGTGGACGATCGTGGGATCGAGAGAAGGTTTGTTCGCCATTGCTTGCAACTCGTTACAGACGTGTGTGTGTGTGTGTGTGTGTGTGTGTGTGTACATGTGAGTGCACGAGAGAGAGAGAGAGAGAGAACAAGATGGAGTTGTGAAGGGTTGGATGAGAAAAAGAGAGAGAAGTCGCAATATCGATGGCTATCGATCGCGCGACCCCGAGTTCGTATCGAACACAAGGATGTACGGTAAAGTTTTTTTGTCGGAGAATATTCTCCAAATTCCAAGAACACGAGACGGAAGAATATTTTATCCAGAGAGTGTTCCGTACTTTGTAAAATATTTTTCTCGTATAATATCGAGAAAAATGTTAATTGTTCTTTTTTTTTCATTACAAATCAATTTAAACATGATTTTGAAATATACAAGTTCCTTTAGATAGATAGAAAGAGAGAATTTGTCCTCTCTTGTTCTCTTTATCTCTCAACGCTTCCGCAGGCGCAAGCGCAAGCGCGGTGTTCTTTGTAGTATCGGTAACGAGACAAAGTCGCACCAATACGAAAATCAGCCCGAAATTAACAATGCAGATAGCCCGAATTGGTCGTGTGCCACGAGTATTTCACACGACGGCGACAGCGGCACGCGTAGCTTACTCGCGCGTACTATTTTAACCGGTGTATGAAACGGTGGTCTGCACATGTCCGTTGGCGGACTGTTTTACGCTTCGCGAAGCATACATACGTACCTAGTGAGTGAGTGAGTGAGTGAGTGAGTGAGTGAGCGAGCGAGCGAGTGAGAGAGTGAGAATGAGAGAGAGAGAGAGAGGGGGGGGGAAGAAAAAGAAGGGAAGGGGGAAAGGGAGACGACCGGGACCCGCTGCACCTGGCCAGGTGCTGCGTGTAGCAGTGGGTCAATATGAACAACACGTGATGATACCGCGGGACCGTTGCGCGGGAAAATAAAACACAAAATAATAATGAACGAGCGGGAGAGAGCAATGAGCCCTTCCTCATTCGCGCGCGCCTCCCATAATTCGCGCGCGTACATTGCGCCGATGGAAAAACTGCCAAAGTTGCAACACACAAACATATTCTCGGCTACTGGTAAGAGAAGATGACGATTGCGAAATCAGAGTCTCTCGCCGGAATCGAAATTTTATCGAGAATCCGTCGCTGCTGCCCTTTTGCCCTTTCCGTAATATTCTCTCTCTTTCTCTCTCTCTCTCTCTCTCTCTCTCTCTCTCTCTCTCTCTTAGTGTGTTTTCTATTTTCTCTCTTCTTTTTTATTTTTTAAATTAAAATTATCCCGTATCTTCCTCTCAAAGCCTCAGGTTTAATATCCCTTCCCCGAGAGACCATGCGTATCGCTAATTCTTACGTCGCGTCGACGTCGCGACGAAAACTACACGACGCTGAAAAAGCGGTCAGTCGTCCGCGTCGGTTTGTCTCTTGCTCGCAGGCTCGAAACGGAAGACTCGCCCGACCGGATTCTACTACTACACGTCCCCTGTGAAATTTTCAAGACACCCACCGGAAAAAGGGACCGCGAGGAGTCGCGCAGGAGCGCACGTTTCACAGGAAACACCCGCACCCGGTGCGGTCAACGTAGAGACGGCCACTCAACCAGAGCCCTTCGTAGCCGTTGCTAATTAAGGGACAATTCCTTCCTTTCGACGAGAAACCGTCCTTCCTTCCTGCAAAGGATTATCCTTGTCCGGTTCGTTCGTGAAATTAATTCTCCGAATCGCGACGAATTACTACGCCCCGGCGGAAGCCGGCGTGAGACTCGACAAGTTCTTTTGCAATTGACAAGCAACGGAGATTACACACACACACACACACGAGCATCAAACGCGACGAGATATGGATTTACCGCGAGAAGAGACACGCGCGCAAAAGACGAAAGGACAATTAATTCATGTTTCGAAACATGAAAAAGACCAAGTGCGAGATGCGCGACACATTACGATCAGTCACACTGTCACACTGTCAGAAAAACGATCGAAATGAGAATGACAGCGTTCTCACAGCGTGTCTCCACAGCGCGAGCAACGTAACTTTCTACGGCATCCCGCAAGGCCCGAGGGTTGAGGGCGCTCGAGTAATCGGAGAGGTGTGCAAGGAGCGAGATTACAGGACCGGGCTCAAATTTCCCCGGTGACGGATCTACAGAGAGATTTTGATATGAATCCCATAGTGCAAAAAAGTGCAAGAATATGAAGAATATGAAAATTCCAATGTTCCGTCAATTTGCCACTTGAGGATTGAGGAAATTAATGTGTGCACCAAGCGCAACAATCTTCAAAGCTTTGCGGCTAAAGCGCTTCGCATCGCAAAGTTCGCGGTTTGGCATTGTCTGTTGCTCGACTGTCGTAAAAGCGAGACTGTCGAGGGTCTTCTGCCCGCCCTTTGTTTTAATGCCAGATACACCATAATATATTCGCATTGTTCTTCGTGGCCGGTTTTCGCCGCAGGCTGGATGGCTCGCGATCCAGAGAGAAGAAACGAACGCGCTGGCGTGCCGCTCTGATCTATATCGTTCGACGGACTCAATTTTGGTAGAGACCACTAAACAACATTGTATATCTCCCTCCCTCCCTTCCTCCCCCCCCCGCTCCATGTGAACGTTAATGTCGATGTTTCTTTGCAACGCGTCACGAACCGAATTTATTTACGCCTCCCCGCGTTATCTCGGCATCTCTTAAAAAACTCAATCATCACTGAGGCTCCTCTCTCTCTCTCTCTCTCTCTCTCTCTCTCTCTCTCTCTCTCTCTCTCTCTCTCTCTCTCTCTCTCTCTCGGGGCGAAATATTATGCGGGGACAAGAAATGAAATTAAGAAATTCTTCGCCAACACACAACACAAATTGAGCTGTCGATAATCCGACTCGTCCGAATCGACGGAAATGAATCGGATACGCGGCGCTCGATCGTTGCCGCGCCGAGTTATTCCATTAATGAGAAAAATTGGCGACGCGCGCGCGCGCGCGCGGTGTCTTCGGCTCTGACACGGGTTACCTCGTTACGAGTTCTGTGCGCGCGTAACAAAGGATATAGAGGTGTATGCCACTTGCATCCGCTATCGCGATCTAACGCGAGGAGGAATGCACGCACGCGCGTCGCTCGTCGTTGCGAGAGCGGCAGAGAGAGAGAGAGAGAGAGAGAGAGAGAGAGAGAGAGAGAGAGAGAGAGAGAGAGAGAGAGAGAGAGAGAGAGAGAGAGAGAGAGAGAGAGAGAGAGAGAGAGAGAGAGAGAGAGAAACGCAGGCAGGTAGCCTCTGCAACAAGAAGGCACGTACATCACTGTCACGGATTCTTCACGCCGCCGTCTGACTGATTTCTGCGAGTAAATCATCGCGTTTGTTTCGCCGCTCGGCTTCGAACGCGTCAAATCGGCCTTTTCGCGCTAGCTCGCGGACGTGCGCGGAAACGCACGTCGTAATGGGAACAATCGCGACAACAAAATGACACAACGTGTAGCCGTCTCGTTTACGACGCGCTCGTCGTAAACACTGCTTGTCCAATGTGTATCAACAACGCACGGCGCGTGATATAATCTCCCGCGAGCAATTACGAGGCTGCGTCCCCCGTTTGCGCGTCCGAAAGTCAATATTCTCGGATATTCCCGGAATATTTATTTAAGAGACACAAACAAACAAACAAACAACATCGTACGTTGATGTTTCGCGCTTTCGCACGAAATGCACGATGTGGCTCGTCTCTCATCAAGGCGAGATCAACAGCGTCGTCCGTCAAGTTTCGCCGCGCACACGCGCTCACAGACTTATCATCTCGTGGGTCTTAACGACCTACCGAGCAATTATCCCTCGCGGCGGCTCAAAGCCGCAAAATGACGATAAATCAATGTCAAAGTAACGATCTCGCGATCGAAACAATTACCTGGACCGCGCGCGCGCGTGATTCGATTTCGTGCGCGAACTACGCGGCGGCGGTTGCCAATTTAGCCCGAAGAAATCCCGGGACTACCGGGGCTATCGATTATCACCCGTGGCCGTAATTAGCCGTCGTGTTTCCTCTCTCGCGAGAATTACCAAACGCCGAAACGAGTATTCTTAATCGTGCGTCAAGACGAACGACGCGCCCGCGCGCGCGCGCGAACGAATCGATTACCAATTAAGCGCAACGTCCGAAGCGCAACGAATATATAAAATTTCCTACATTTCAGAAACGCCGGCGATATATCTCCGACATGATACATCCGTTTGCCTGTCGTTTGTGTTTATTGCCGATCATCGTTGTCTCAATCAAGTCTCGAAAAGAAGTACTCGAGAAGTCGCGTAACAGAGTACGCGTCGTCTGTAGCGCTAAACAGACGAGCGTGCGCAGTCGCCAGAACCGTATCTGACTGCTGCGAGATAAACGCGGCGAATATGATTCCCCCCTCCCCTCTCTCTCTCTCTCTCGTTCTCCTTCTTCGTACGATATGACAATGAATACGATGAGAAATGCGCGACTGTCGAACTCTGCGAGGAGGAGCATCCTGAGAAAACGGCTTTTCTCACGTCTCGGAGATTGCATCACACCACACCACACGACCTCTATTACGGGAGCAACTTTTACCGAGAGAGGCGCGGGGCGGGCGAGCTGCTACTTTCGCGACTGCGCATTGTCGAAAGCTAAGATGTCGCGCGCGCGCGCGATCGAGCGCAAATCGAGACACGACTCACCTTCACGTAGGAGTGAAACTTGACTTTGCTCGGCGACACGGGCGGGCTGTTGGGTGGCCTCGATTGCTGCAACGGTACGTGCAGCACGTTCTGCACATTCGACAGGCAGCCCTTCCTCACGTCGCTACATCCCTTCCTGCTCTTGGGACTCATCTGTATGTCCTCCTCGTGCTTCACCTTCTTCGCGATCGTAAAGTTCTCCTTGACGTTCTGCTTACGTAGAATGTAGTGCATCCTCCGTCTGTTGGCGCACGTGTCGTTTCTGCAGATTCTTCTCCACGTGGTAGACACCATGCTGACCGTACACAGATCCTGACATCCGAGATAGGACAAGATCTTCGACACGAGATTCCAATGATTGCTCTCTTTTCCCAGGAGCGACAAGAAATCCACCTTGTCCTTTCTCGCGTAGCTCACCGCCGGCGGAATAGTCCTCACCTCGGTATCGCCGCTGTGGCGCAATTCCGACGTCAAGCCGCCGCCGCCGCCGCCGCCGCCACCACCACGGTGACTGAAGTCCAACCTCTTCGGTTTGATCTCGGGTATGGCACTCAAGTCCACGATGGACAGATTGCTCAGCTGTCGATTTTCCACCGACGTTATGGTGGCGGGATCGATTCTTTTGCGAACCGGCGAGACGACAATCAGCGGTATCGGGGTTTTCATCAGTGTCGCCACTTCCGGTATGCTCTCTCGCGGCGGCACGACTAGTCTCATCCTCGCATCCTCGTCCACCCGGAGTCCGGAAGTCACGCGGAAGGACGAGGTGGGCATCGCCGGCGAGGGTGGCGGTGACAAAAGATGAAGACCTGCGGATAACGCAGGAGTAACGGGCGCCGCCGCCGTCGCCGCCGCCGCGATCTTACACTTTCTTCTGGTCCTGCTCCCGAGAGTCCTGTTCCCGACGTCATTGTTTGTGTAGCTCGGGGTGGAATGCGCCAACAGACCGAGATCCTCGCTCGCACGCGACAATTCCAATCTGCCCGAGTCCTGCTCGGAGCTCTCCGAGGAATTCACCAATTGACTGCTCGGCTTCGAACGGCGTCTGTGAAACTTTTCGCACTGCCAAGGATCCGAACGATAGCGGTGCCTCTTAGCGACCGCAGCGGACAACTTGTTCTTGTAGCCGGTGCTCACCATCGGCGTGTAGCTGGAATGCGGCGTCAGGTTGCTCAAGTAACCGCTGTCGACGCTATCGTGGCAGCTGCGCCCGCTCGAATCGACGACGGATGAGATGTGCGGGGTGTCGGCGACGCGGACGCAGACGCTTCCATCGTCGTCGTCGTCGTCGTTGTTGTCGTCGTCGTCGTCGTCGTCGTCGTCGTAGGCCATCGTGTTTGGAATATTTGCTAACCTTTCGTTCGTCCGGCTGCGCAGACGGGTTTTCCGAACGTTAACTTCCGCTGCGACCATCTCCCCTGCGCGCGAATGCCGCGCGAACAGCGCAGCGGCGGAAAGCGACATGTCAAACACGGCGAACGCGACGCGGTGTGTATGCGTGTGATGCTTGCGCCCCAAACAAACGGATCGGATTTTGCCGAGACTAACCTTGTTTTGTACTTTGAGCGCGATCACCAAAATCTGTGGATAGAATCTTCCGAGTCTTCCCGAGATGATATATCACGTCCGATTTCCACCTGATTCTCTCTCATCCTGTGCTTGATGGGCTTGATGATGCTCGCTCGCTCGTTCGCGCGCGCACTGTGGCGAACTGTGCCAATTTGTGCGATTGTCGCGACGTGTACGACGCACCACCGTTAAATCCGAACGCGTAATGTCACTCGCGACGACGATCGTTCTCACTCGTGCGGATCGACGAGCGATGATTGCTTGCGCGCGCGCGCGCGTACGCGCGCACGCACGGTATATACATACACACACACACACAGAGAGAGAGAGCGAGCGAATTATCCCGTCTTCCGATCCGTTCCGCCGACAGTCTGTTTACACCGGGAGAAAAAAAGCGAGCATCGTCGCACGACGATTCGTCCGCGTTGACCGCGGCAGTCGTTCAGGTCGCGTCGCACGTGTGACTGTCATTCCGCGCGACACTGAAATCTCTCACTTACTTGCTTGAGATTCCCCCGTCCTCGCCGATCATCTCGGCAAGGTAACTCTGCTACATCCCATCTTGCTCGACGCTTGACGTTTCTCGCGATTTTTAACGCGACGCGTTACGCGAACGCTGTTTCTCTCTCTCTCTCTCTCTGCGGTACTCACGCGGTGCGCAGCGCGGGAAACGCCGGCATCTCTTCACCCTTCTCTACCGTTATTCCTCGTCGCTCTCCCGCCGTTCACTGACGTTCAGCGGCACAAACACGTAGAAGAAGAGAGAGAGAGAGAGAGAGAGGGAGAGGAGAGAGAAAGAGCGAGGCATCCTTTCCGCGCGCATCGTAAACAAGAAAACTCGTGCTCGCCGGCCCGCGCGTTCATCGCGATTGACTTTTGCGCGCGCGCGCGCGCGCACGCGGACGCGTCGACTCTCAGCGCGAACTTGAACGTCGTCGCAGCGCACAAAGACGCAGTACGCAGTTTTCGCGCGCGAGCACAGCTCGCTCTCGCCCGCGCGGAACCCTCCTACCCTTGACCAAGTGTCACTGAACAGACAGGGGTGAGAGCGGTCTGGGGAAACATGCGCGCGCCGTATATTCTCCCTCTGTGAGACGTGGTCGTAGCACTCGACCAAAACTCGGAACGCCACTCGCGCACGTTCCGTTCCTACCGTGCGCTCCCCACGGACTAGCGCGCCTAACCAATCGTATGCGTCCACTCTGCCGCCAGTTCGTTGCCAAGTGCCGCTATTGGTTCGACGCGTTCGTTACGTTGCCGCCGACGGAGATGCTGGAGAGCGCGAGCATCTGTTGCTGGGGGAGACTAGCTTTCTCGCGCTCTCGAATTCATGCGATGCGCCTGCGCAGACTCGCAAACCTTACGCCTTTGAATTTCGACTCGCGTCTCGGTTCCTTCTTGTCTGTCTCTTTTATACATGTATATATATATATATATATGTATATAAATATATATATATATATGTATAATATCAACCATTTTGGAAAAGTAATATGTAATATACAAGAGAAAATTACACTGACCGAGTACCGAGTACTATATCAAACAATTCTAATTGGAGATTTTCAATGTCACACATTTTGTTACAGGAAACTTTTCTTTCAATGTCGCTCGATATTCGCATAATACTGATTATAATCTAATCTAACCTAACCTAACCTATTCTATCATTCCTACAAATATTGAGCTGATACTCGAGTATTGAACTTGTGTGTGTGTGTGTGTGTGTGTGTGTGTGTGTGTACTGAATTTTATAAAGAAATTGCACATTGTCTTTAATGTATCGATCTTTTGAGCTTGTAACAATTTGGCGCAACGTTACCTCGAGTCTAGCCGCTCTGAGGGTAAGGGACTATCTCTCTTCTCAACCGCGTGTGAATCGATTCTGAAACGTAGTTTTGAAACTTCTGCGAGAAGTCGCCACCATCTTGAACGAAAAATCAAAGTGGTGTGCATTTCGCGATGAGGGAGGAGACCGTCATACAGAACCGTTTCAAATGTTGAAACTTAACTTTATGCAGTACTCCATGGGATGGAAGATTTCAAACTGCTGTACGACAAAATTGTAGCTCCATAAACTGTGGTTTGAATCTCGGGTAATTTTTATGGAGACCGATAAATGTAGTTCGAGTCTCGACTTCTTCGGTCAGCCGGCTCGATAACCGCCTCTTCAGAGACCCGCGCCATCTAATGAGACAAACTGAAATTTCAATCAACCGACCCTTTACGTTCAGTTAGACTCGTTACTTTGTTTTATTACTTTCTGCTTAGTTACGACCTAACCTCTCCGCTACGAGGCGCCACCATGGCCGCTACCGCGACAAATCATAGTAAGATTAAACAGTGCGGCAAAGAACCTTTCTATTTAGCGGATTCGACACATCAAGCTTGACGGACTTGTGTTGTATTCACCGAGATACCAATGACAACAATGAATAGTAAGTCATTGGTCATTCTATTCTATTCATTTTGCATGCAGCGACGAAATGCAGTTGGGGATCGCGCGTAGTACGCGAGTAATACGCGAGGCCGCGCGACTCTGAGAGAATTTATTACTACGGTCAAACTCTGGGTATATAATATAAACTTTGTCACTGCTGGGCACTGCACGGGATGACAATTAAACGAATTGCCGGTCCATTGCCTGCATAGAAGGAAACTGCAGAAACTGCTTCGGAGCGAGAGCGAGCGTGTGCGCTTTTCAACATTATTTCTGTCTCTGTCTCTCTCTCTCTCTCTCTCTCTCTCTCTCTCCCTCTCTCTCTCTCCCTCTCTCTCTCTCTCTCTCTGTGTGTGTGTGTGTGTGTGTGTATGTCGTTGCGCCTCCGCGCTCCACTTTCCGGCCCCAAGTTGCACTAAAAGGCTCCGTGTAGCGCGCTTTACGGCTTCAATATGCAGTAAAATGCAGGATAGCGACCGCTGCATGCTCGTGCTGCATGCCCTTTCGCTCTCCTCCTCGTCCTCGTACGTAATACTCTACAGCACCGTAGAGCACCGTAGAGACACTTGGCGCGGCGGACGCACCGCGCTCGCAGACCGCCAAGTCCGACCGCTGCTGAGATAAATTGATGAATGAAAAAGAGAATAAAGAGAGACGCGTTGAAGAGCAATCGAGGAATAATATCCTAGGGGCAGGGTTTCTCATATCCGATGAGAAACACCGCTTTCGATTTTTACGAAACGAAACTGTGCTTGTTGTTGGCTCTCTGCGCAACAATCTCGGCTCGTTTAAACGGGGAGCGACTAAAATGCGCGCTAAGGAAATGCGCGATTTTGGTAGTCCAGAGTAAAAGAAATCCTTTTTACATTAATCGGTCTCGATTTGTGGAACACAACTTGACGCCCGAATCCCGATTCGCGATGATGAGCGACGCACGTGCAGAATGCTGGAACCCGGTGAGAGAAATGTCGCCGAATTTCCGCCAATTGCCCCATGTGTGTACGTAACGCACAGGCCCGTTCGAGGAAGCGACTGGCGATAGAAATTGCAACGTGCGAATGTGCAACATGCGAAAAAGGAGCGTTCTCGTTCCCGAGAGTAGTGGCATGTAAAGAATGTCTCAGTGTGTCAGTCAATTTCTCGGGAGTAATTTCGCATACTGGAAAAGCATAATTGTCGGTTGGGTAAACCGTCGTGGAAACGTGGAATGGTTAACGGATGAATATTACCCGATGAGCAATGTTCGCACGGATCCCGCGCATCCTGTTGCTGAAGCTAAACAGAAGCCGCGTCTCGCTAAAGTCTTGCTAAAGTTCCGCGACAAATTCTGCGAGAAATGATGAGCAATAAAGGAAGGAAGCACCGCGTGTGTGATCGTAAAGTTGAATGAATACGCTAAACCCGAGAGAGAGAGAGAGAAACGTAGATTATAATTACGTATTATACAATCGTGCGCTTTTTCTTCTTCCATTCCTAGCGAAAAACTGTTTCCGACTTTTCCGAACTTTTCCAGGGCATACACACAGTTAACGCAGTCTGCCAGTAGTAGAAGCTAAAAGCTTCGCAATGATATTTCCAGTCTGTATCTCGCATTCTTAATATCATATTTTCGCTATTTTATTACTCATCTTGATGTATGTTTCCTTGATGAAAGATCGATCGATCAAAGTGCTCTCTCTCTCTCTCTCTCTCTCTCTCTCTCTCTCTCTCTCTCTCTCTCGTGCGGAACCAAGTCTCAAGGATCGGTCTTTAACAAGTTTTCGATAAATATAAAATTACCTTAACCGATAGGTGTAGGTACAGTAGATTTTTCGCAATCGCGTAATCGCAGTGACTCCGTCAGTGAAAATGTGAAATCTGGGTGAATCGAACGGCAGATAGTACGGCAGGTACGGCCTATGCGACTGTAGTAGTCTCTCACGCGCAATGATAGCGAGAAACGACGATAGGTCGGAGGTTGTGCACCGTGTGTATTTAAGCTCGATTTCGCGCTTAATTTCGCGCATATCAGATAGGTATGTACGACTGGTATCTCGAGTAACGAGACAGATATCTCTCTCATCTTCTGAATAAGGGCGACTGATCAGACGCGTCAACTGAGATCAGACTTGCATCTCTTTATGATGCATTACGGGAAAAGAAAGATGCTCGGGATGGAAAACTCCTTCCCGAGCAAAGCGACCAAAGCTCTTCTTGCTCGTTCACGCTCACACTCACACGGAGCTTCTAATTGATCCGATTGTCGATATTGAAAATGCCGAAAGGCTTGCTGCCCCGTACTTTGTACGGGGTTTTGCCCCCACCGAGTGATGGGATCCGATGGCGATTCAATGACACAGATCTGATGTCACATTGTGATGTCAGCCATATTCCACTAATGTGGTCTCACGCATCACGCATCACGATCTCGCCCCAGTCATCAGCAACGAGAGTCGGCCGTGTTTTCGTGACATTTCGATTCGCGCTTACCTTGCTTACCTCGTTATCTCTTATCTTATCTCAAGGTGTTAGGCCTTGAAACGTTTCTATTCAGGAAGTTGTTATGCATCGAGCGTACAATTTCGTACATCGTGCAGAAGAGCGACGATGAATTGTTATATCCCCGCTGTCATTCCCTGCGCTGCTCGCAGCGCAATCTGCTTTTTTCTGCCCTTGGCTTTTCGTGATTTTAACCTTTTCGTGAATCGAACCTAAATATTTATACGCGTCATCATTTCACTCGCTCGTTAATCTCGATGACTCTTACTGCGATTGTCTGCGCGATTTTGCGCGGCATTTTATCCTGACGGCGTATATATCGTGCAATATTTCGCGCGATAAATATTAACGTTGAGCGATCCACATTAGTGGCGTCTCTCGATCTCTTTCTCTCTCTTTCTCTCTCTCTCTCTCTCTCTCTCTCTCTCTCTCTCTCATTCGCGATCTCTCTGTTATTATTATTCTACCCCCGCATATATGAGCGTATCTACTGAGCAAAAAGCAGCAAGTAAAGGTAGGCCTGAATGATTGCGTTACTGCGTTGCTGCTACCTTGTAAAGCAGGACATAAATCAACTTAAGTGACACGTTAGAACGAAAGGATCGAGCACATCCTGTATTTGCGGAGACCGCAAGGAAATCCCATGTGTCACACAGTCTCTATCCACTTTCCTCACCGCGAGAGGAGGAGACAACCGAAAGAGAGGTTGATTGTAATACCGCTCATCGGGTGTTCGTAGAAGGTCTCTCTCTCTCTCTCTCTCTCTCTCTCTCTCTCTCTCTCTCTCTCTCTCTCTCTCTCTCTCTCATTTATCAGAGACACCGACACTTTTTGTTTCTTTCTTTGCGTCGCGTCGTAACAATTAGAGCTGCGATAAGTGAGATTGTTGAGAAATGCACGCGTGATGATTTCGCGATGATCTTTGCACGCAATTGGTGGCCTCTACGACTAGAGAAAGATAACTCTCTCTCTCTCTCTCTCTCTCTCTCTCCACCCTCCCTTACAACCTCTCTGTTCCTCTGCTTTCTCGAGCGAGAGGAAGGAGGAACGCGATACAACGCGGGGCAAGTGTGTGTGTGCGCGTGTGTATGAGCAACGTTTATCCTTTGAAAATTCACACGTAGATGTGTCCAATCGATTTGATCGTCAGTTTGAAGGGTAGCGGCGCGACGTAGCTTTCAAAGGAATTTCATTCTATACGCGACTGGCCACACTCTTTGTTCCCACGCTACTGCACGCGCTTTAGCACGCGCAATAGCACGCG